AGGTGAGAAACAACAAGTTTTGGCAAGGATGTGGAGAAAAAGGAACCCTTTGCACTATTGGTGGGAATGTAAATTGGTGCAGTCCCTGTGGAAAACACAACGGATGTCCCTCAAAACAAATAAAAATAGAAATACCATATGATTCAATAATTCAACTGTTGGTTATTTACCCAAAGAAAAGAAAAACATTCGAAAAGATAGATGCACCCCTATGTTTATTGAAGCATTATTCACAATAGCCAAAATATGGAAGCACATTTATTGATTTTAATGTTCCTAACAACTGTTTTCTGGAAAGTTTTCTAACATAAAAATAAAAAATGAATACATATATACTTTTTTTTGTTTCATACTTCAGTGTTTTTACTTTTCAAGCTCTATAAGGTTTTTTTTTAACTTTACATTTTGAGGTATTTTTAGACTTACTCAAAATTCTTTGAAGCTGCAAAGGTAAGTGTCTAATTTATCCTTCACCTAACATCCCCCAATGGCTACATCTTATATAGTTGTAACACAATATCAAAACGAGGAAACTGACACTGATACATTTATAGTCAATTAAACTACAAACCTTATTTGGTTTTTGACATTTTTTGTCCTACATTTGTGTGTGTAGGTGCTTGTGTGTTTAGTTGTGTTTAGTTCTATACAATTTTATCCTGGGTATATATTTCTGTAACTATCACAACAATAAAGATACAGAACTGTTTTACATCCACAAAACAACTCCTTCTTGATACCTCCTTGTATTAACGCCTCACCACCAAACCTATCTCTGTCTCCTGGCAACCACTATTCTCCCTTTCCACTGCTTTGTAATTTCAAGAATGTTCCATAAGTAAAATCATACTATACTTAAGCTCTTGAGATTTTTTTTTTCACTAAGCATAATTCTATTGAGGCCCATTCATGTTGTTGTGTATATCAATTGTCCATTTTTTTAAAAATTGCTGAGTAGTATTCCATTGTTGGTTGTACCAGATTTTGTTTAAGCATTCATCTACTGAAGGATGGTTGCTTCATGTATTTTTCCATTATGAATAAAGCTGTTAGAAACATTCACATACAGGTTTTTGTGTAAATGTAAAATTTCATTACTCTGGGATAAATGTCTAAGAGTGCAACTGCTAAGTTATAAGAGCCTGCCAGACTATTTTCCAAAGGGACTTTACCATTTTTACATTCCCATCAGCAATGTATGAGAGATCCAATTTCTCCACATCCACACTAGCATTTGGTATTATCACTTTTTTATTTCAACTGCTTTAATAAGTTTGTAGAGATATATAATTGCAGCTTTGATTTACATTTTCCTTAATGACTAATGAGTTTGAACATCCTTTTATGTTTCCAGTAGCCTTTTGAGAAAAAGGACATAGAAGATAAAATTTGGAAATTGTGTATGTCTGAAAATATGTTAATTCATATACCTTCAAAAGTTGGATGGTTTGTCTTGGCTATAAAATTCTAGATTAGAACTTTTTCTTCTGAATGTTTAAGGCTTCACTGTCTTCTCAATTCTAGTATTGATGTTGAAAAGTCCAAAGCCATTCTGGTTTCTAGTCCTTTATGTGTGACTCAATTTTTTTGCTCTTGGAATCTTAAAGGATGTTTTGTTTGTACCAACTGCTCTAAAATTTATTCATGTGGGTCTATTTTCATCAATTCCTCTGAGTATTTAAATATAAATTTTTAAATTATTTTCTCCCCCTCTGTTCTTTCTCTTTTTTCTGTAACTGCTGTTGAATCTCCTGAATTAGCCATTTTATAATCATTATTATTACTTTATATTTTCTCTTCTATTTTCTATTACCTTGCTCTTTTTTTCTACATTCTCGTTAATTTCCTCTATTTAACATCCCAACACTTCTACTGAGATTTTCTTTTTGGCTATCCTTTTCATTTTCAAGATATCTACTTGTCCTCTGTTTCCATTTTATAGTGTTCTCATTTCATGGATGCAATATCTCTTCCTACACTTCTGAGTGTATTAGTGGATTTTTGGTCAAGTTTTTTTCTCTTATATAGTCGCTGATTTTTTAAATTTCTGTTTCTATATTTCATGTTTCCTCACATTTCTAATAATTTTTGGTTGTCCACATGATAGAGGGAAATATGAGAAAATTTTATTGGAAGGTTGGAGCACACAGTGTTTGCCATCTGTGGGCTTCTCTGTTAGATAAACTTACTATGTCATTGATTTAAGAAACCCTACATTTCAGTATCCTTCATATCTTTCTAATTAAGGGCTTTAATTTATTTTTAGGTTCTGATATATTGTATGTTTTTACCTATGTGATATTCTGGGAGATGATTTTATTTCCCCTTTAGTCCACGGTTAAAATAATACCCTTCCCTCATATCTAATTACCCCTTCTGAAATATACCTGGGAGGGACACTGGGTTTTATCATCATTCATGGAATAAGATATTTATAATTTATTTTTTTAAAGATTTTATTTATTTATTTGACAGAGAGAGACAGCAAGAGAGGGAACACAAACACGGGGAGCCTGAGAGAGAGAAGCAGGCTTCCCGCCGAGCAGGGAGCCCGATGTGGGGCTCGATCCCAGGACCCTGGGATCATGACCTGAGCCGAAGGCAGACGCTTAACAACTGAGCCACCCAGGTGCCCCAAGATATTTATAATTTAAAGAGCAAGAGAAATCTAGGGGATCTGCAAGCCCCTAAACAGATGACATCAGGGCACACTAGTTGACTACTACTGTCTAGAATATGACTATGGATCGTTTAAAGGGGGGAGATTATGCAACAGGGAGAAAGACAAGAAATTTAAAAACAGAATTAAGCTTCAACTGCAGGAAGAGAAGAGAAAGAGAAAGTGCACAGAGAGCCTTTCTTGGAACTTTCTAGCAAGGAAGTTGGGGAAGCTGGGAGAAGGAGAGGCCTGATCCCCTTAACTGTGAATCTGAGAACATGAATCACTTGGATCACTGTGACTTCCCTGGAATAAGCAGCAATAAGAGCCTTGAAGTAAAGCTTGTTGGGAACACTGAGGAAGACAGGGCTATTATACATTATTCCATAAACCACTTTAGAGCTAGATTAATTCCCATGAAAAGAGTAGATTTTGGCAGATTGGAAGATAAAAAGAAATCTAAAGATATGGAAAAAGGAAAAGTAGTGCACAAATTTATCTTACCCATGTATCAATGGGCCTAGATGCTTTCTCAGCAGGAGAGCTATGGAGTTCCACAGCCACCCTGTAATGTAGAAGTGAGGTAAAATGACTTCCGGACCAACTCAGTGTGACATTTCCAAAGTTCCTATAGCTAAGTCTACAAAAATACATTGAACATTTAGCTGATAAAGAACCAACGAAAATAAACCTTGGAAACAATGCAAAAATAAAACAAAGCATTTAGCCACTATGATTAAAACAGTAATAACAATAAAAAATGTTAATTGCTATTATTTTTGTAATTACAATTTACTTAGCACCCACTACATACCAAATACTTAATAATTCACTCACAATAAGGTAAACTTATACTTTATACCTATAAAGTAACAATTATTATTCTCATTTTTAGATAAAAGATATAATATTTTAATAAGTAGGTAAGTTAATATGAATATATAAATTAATGTATCACTTAGCCAAGACCACATACCTAGTACATAAAAGGGTTTGGAATTAATTCTAAGTTTCGATGCTCCAAGGATTGAGTCTTTCAGAACTGCATCTCCAGAATTAGCTTGCATGAACTGAAGCATAATAAAAACTTCAAGTAATCTTTCTACCATTTGTCTGATGGCTATTAAAACATTGTTCTAGCCATCATGCTTAGGGAAAAAGAGAAAGAGAAAGAGGAACTGGAAAAGGTTCAGAGGAAAGCTAAAACATGAGTAAATAAGGATGAAATGGTATTATAAAGCATATTGGAATAGAGTTCGCTTAACTCAGAGAACACTAACCTAACAGCAAAGGATTTTCATAAGGGAAGATCACCATTAGGATTCTACGTTCATGAAAAACTGAATGCTGGAAGGTAAGGTTGGTCCTTTAATATGTTCTAACTGGCAAGTGGCTAGAGGCTGTCTCATCAGGATTTTTTAATTTAGGAAGACCTGATCTTATTAGGAAACACCAGAGAATGACAAGGTAGAGTGTGTAAATGAATACAAGTTCTTCTCCTCCCTTCATCCATGTCCCTGCAATATGACAGTACAATCTTCCTGTGAAGGTATGGAGTGTTTCCTTACCCTCGAATATGGGTTGTCTCTGCAATTTGTGTAGGTCAATGAGAGATTAGCATACATGATTCAGCAGAAGTTTAAAAAACATCTGTGAGTTAGAGAAGAACCAAGAGCCTACCAGCTGCCAGATATGTGACTGAGGCCATGCTAAATCATCTAGCTTTGGCCACTCCACCAAATGACCACAGATGCAGAGAAAACCTGGCACACAAGAGCTGAGCTTGACCAGACCGGTAGAACCACCCACATGACCCACAGAATTCTGAGCAAAATTAAATGCTGGTTGTATGAAGCCACTAAGTTTGAGGTGATTTGTCCACAGCTAAAGTTAATAAAATCAGGTGGCAAAAACAAAAGTGACAGGCTAAATAGACACTATGTCTACTTCAAGAAGTGGATTATTAATTAATTCTGAGGGCCTGAGAGCTTTTGTCCCCTACCTCCTGAAGACGGAGAACTAGAATAAGTATTCGCAATACTCATTTATTTGGGAACTAAAATGTCTTCACAGATCAGATATCTAGCCCTGCCTGATCAATGTACATATATGGAATCTGAAACCAAGAGAGGGGATGTGACTTGCCCAAGGTCACAGTGAGTTCCTGACTGAACTAGGACTACTGGGCAGGTCCTCTGAGCTCCAGTCCTGGGTATTTTACTCACTAACCTTGAGATCTCGACCAATCCTGAGATTCCATGACTCTGTGACTCTATGGTTCTATAATTCCAAGACAAAGCACAACAATGCCAGTGCTCCAGACAGCCTTGGTACAGAAGAACATGGTCTAGACTTAAGTACCATCAAGAACATTTTTTCATCTCAAAATATCAACTGCACCATCATGGATTCAAACACTGTACACAATCCTGTGTTTCTGGTATTTCCCCCAGATATCAATGTTCCTGACTTGCAGTCAGCAGACCTTACAGCCACAACCTATGATACAAGCGGCCCTCTTCCAAAATTACTTGCTACAAAAATGAAAATCTTAGGGGTAAGTCAGATTTGCCCCAATGTATACTCTACTAAGGGTGTGTTATGGACTGTTTGTGCTCCCCATAATTCATAGTTGAAACCATAATTCCAGTGTAATGGTGTTTGGAGGTGGAGCTTTTTGGGGGTAATTACTTCATGATGGTAAAGCCCTCATGAATGGGATTAGTGCCCTTATAAGAAGAGGTCAGAGAGGTAGCTAGCTCTCTTTCCACCATGTGAAGTTACAAAAGAGAAGTTGGCGGTCTGCAACCCAGAAGGGGTCTGCACCAGAACCCAACCATGCTGGCACCCTGATCTCAAACTTTCAGCCTACAGAATCATGAGAAATAAATTTCTGTTTTTTATAAGCCACCCAATCTATGAACCATGGGCTTAAACAACCACCCCCAGCAGGGTGTCACAGATTCTATAACTTTGCAACAGAAGCTGAACTAAGATGGGGGTGGGGGTGGGGAGAAGAAGAGGGAAAGTAATGTCTGGTGGCACAATGTTTCAAGGTAGGACCTAAATCCAACTTTTATTTCCATCCAGTTCAGGAAGTATATGTCACATTTCTAAACCAATTATGTACAAGGTTCTATGGAGAGGAAGATATAAAACGAATAAGCCAAAATCCCTGGGCTCTTGAAGATTGCAGTTAAAGTAAAAATCTCCAAACTCACTACCTAGGAGTTTTTTCATAGTCAAGTTCAGAGAAAAGAAAGAAAATCAAGTAGAAGTCAATAGATCAGATTTTATATCCTGGGTTACTGAGTTCTACGGTTTTACATTTTCCCAGTCAAGACTCAGAATTCAGTTTCACAGTATTATACGGTATTTTTACATGTGGGGTTTTTGAAGAAAATCCCCTTAATACTGTAAATGCTCATCTCTCCACCCACTTATCCATTTCATGACTATTAATTATTTTCTATTTACCAATCTCCTTTCAGAAAATGTGATTCAGTATGTTTAAGGCTGTGATAGTATCTATATCTTATAAAATATTTGTCATCTCAACCCTAAGCCTTCAAGAGTGGAAAATAGAAAGAAATTGACTTTTCCCAGAAAAAAAAAAAAAAACAAAGTAGAGAAAGATGGCCCACTGACATGCAGAAAAGGACCATCAGTCTTAAACTGCTTTAGCATCTATTCAAATATAATGGTACTGAAACTTCTGCTAAAGAATTCAAATTACTTTAACAAATACGGATTGAACTATGTGCAAAAAACTATGTTAGACACTATGGGGGTTACAGAAATAAATACAACCTAGTTTCTCTCATTGAGGAGAGAATACATAATTTAGAAAGAAAAAAATAACAATATTAAATACCACGTTTCACAGTAGCAACTAATAAGAGCCATAAATGGTTGGGGGTGAGAGGCAGGGCAACCCAGAGAGGGAACAGTTACTTCTATCTAAAAGCAATGGGACGTTATGGCAATTTTGGCATTTAGTCTGAACACTAAAGAAGTGATGGAATTTTGATAAGTAGATATGAAAGGGGAGGAGGAAAGCAGAATATTCTAGATTGAGAAAGCACCATGAACAAAAAACTCATGGTAGCATAGTTTGGGAATGACAAAAGAGCTGGGAGGAAGCGCATTAGACTCGAAAGATTTAAGGGGATTAAAAGACAAACAAAAAAAAAGAAAGAAGAAAAATCAGGATGGATAAATACACTGCAGTACATTCATACAAGGGAATGTTATTCAGTGCTCAAAATAAATAAGCCATCAAGCCATGAAGATACATAGAGGAAACTAAAATATGCATTTCTAAGTGAAAGAAGCCAGCCTGTAAAGACAACAAACTATATGATTCCAACTATGTGACATTCTGGAAAAGCCAAAAAATGGAGACAAAAAGATCAGTGGTTGCCAGGGGATGGAGCAGAGAGGGAGGGATGAATAGGTGGAGGACAGAGGATATTTAGAGCAGGAAAACTATTCTGCACAATACTATAATCATGGATACATGTCATTACACATTTGTCAAAACCCACAGAATGTACAACAGCAACAGTGAAGCCTGATGTAAACTATGGATTCTGGCTGACAATGATGTGTCAGTGTCGGTTCAATTGTAACAAATATACCACATTGATATGGGATATTGATAGTGGGGGAAGCATTGGGGGAGGGAAACAGGAAATAGATGGGAACTTTGTACTTTTCACTCTATTTTGCTGTGAACCTAAAACTGCTTTTAAAAAATAAAGCCTAGGGACGCCTGAGTGGCTCAGTTGGTTAAGCCTCCGCCTTCAGCTCAGGTCATGATCCCAGGGTCCTGGGATCCAGCCCCACATCGGGCTCCCTACTTAGTGGGGAGTCTGCTTCTCTCTCTCCCTCTGCAGCTCCCCCTGCTCGTGCTCTCTCTCTCTCTCTCTCTGTCAAATAAATAAATAAAATCTTTAAAAAATAAAAATAAAGCCTATTAATTTAAATAAAATGGTAAGTATGTACTGTAAATTTTGTTATAGATATTTTACCAACATTTTTTTAAAATGTGAAAAATAATATTTTGGGGAGAAAAGGAAACAACCAGGAAGGTAATTTGGAGACCTAATTGCCAAGAATCTTATAGCCATCCCTACTTAGACTTTACAATATTGACAAGTAGCTTCCAATCTGTAAAATCAACAAATCACCTAAGGAGCTTTATAAAATGTGTATACCAAGTCCCCAGGCCTTGTTCCAGAACTACTGAATATCAATTTTGAGGGAGTTGTGGGGGGGGGTTGAAATCTGTAATTTGTAAACACTTCTCTGAATTTGATGACCACCAGATTTAGGAGCTTCATTTCAAAGAAATTGAGAAGAGTAACCAGACTGGTTCTGTTTTGCGATCTTACTTCAGCACTGACATAACACTGGAATAGAGAAAAAGGAAGCTGGTGCAGAAAAGCCAGTTAGAAAACAATTTTAATAGTTTAGATGAATGGATAGTGGCTATTGAGTTGAACTTACTCAAATGGACTTGGACTTGAGGAAAAGAATATCCTTCACAATTCACCTCCTTAAAGGTCATAGTTGCTATGGGAGTGAAAGAAAGGACTCAGAGAAGGTAGGTGGAGAGTAAGAGGGCAGAGAACAAACACACATGGTACACCTTCCATTCTTTACATCATTCTCACCAATCTTCCCTAGCAATCGTCAAACCACCGCTTTACTTTTTTTCATTATTTGTTTTATTTTTAATTTTAATTTTTTGAGGAATCTCCATACTGTTTTCCATAATGATACATCCCTACCAACAGTGCACCACATCCTTACCAGCATTTGCTTCTTGTCTTTTTGATGTTAGCCATTTTAACAAATGTGAGGTCCTATCGCTTTGTGGTTTTGATTTGCATTTCCCCGCTGCTTGAGAGTTTGACACGGTCTAACCTGGAGATTCTATTCAGTAAGTATAGGATATAGGTGATAGGGCCTGAGATTCCGCATCTCTAATTCTCAGGTGATCCTAATGTTGCCAATCCATGGGCTACATTTTCCAGAGCACTGATTTAGATCATTTTACCTGTTACCAAATACCAGATAGAGGAATCAAGAAAACACCTGGGAGCATCATAAGGGGTTTCTACTAACCTTCTCCTCTTTATAAAAGAAGGTAATCACCAAATCCTTTTAACCAAAAGAAGATCATGTATATTTTTGGAAAGGAAACCTACCATTTTGCTTTTTCCTTACCATAAATTTTTCCTCTATTTATAGGCTATGCAGATCCTGTTTGGAGTGATGAACTTTTCTTTTGGAGTTGTTTTCCTTTTCACCCTTGAAAATCCATACCCACGGTTCCCCTTTATATTTGTTTCAGGATATCCATTCTGGAGCTCTGTTTTGGTGAGTATAGTCAATTGAGTTCAATTTGAAGCCATGACGACAGTGATTCTAGGGAATTCTTAATTACAAAATGAGCTGCATCCAGTTGTAGGATATGCTTTGTAAAGGTAAAATAAAAATCAACTTTATTGAAATTATTTCCCCATTAATTCATCAGATTGCTGATGTTCCATCATTGGGTCCTAAAGTTCCTTTGGGAATATGTCCTTGGGTCTTGATGTCATTTGTCCATTCATTCATTCAAAATGAGTTGCTATCTATTATAAGCCAGATACATAGTGGAAGGCAATGAGGATCGAAAGGTTAATAATACATGGACCCTCATTATGAAAGACAGTATGAAGTTTCCTCAACAAATTAAAAATAGAGTGACCATATGATCTAGCAATTCCACTTCTGGGAATATATCCAAAGGAAATGAAAACCCTATGTCAAAGATATATCTGCAACTCCATGTCCATAGCAGCATTTGTCACAAAAGTCAAGACATGTAAACAACCTAAGTGTCCATCAACAGATGAATGGATGATAAAGAAGTGTGTGTATATATATATACACATATATACAGCCATAAAAAAACAAGGAAATCCTGCCACTTGCAACAACATGGTTAGACCTTAAGGGCATTATGTTAAGTGAAATAAGGCAGACAGGGAAAGACAAATACTGCATGATCTCACTGATATTTAGAACTTTAAAAAATTCATAGATAAAGAGCTCAGATTTAAGGTTACCAGGGGCAGAGAGTGAGGAGAGAGGGGATGGAGGGTGGTGGTCAAAAGGTACAAGCTTCCAGTAATAAGATAAATAAGTACTAGGGATACAACATATAACAGGATGATTTCAGTTAACACTGTTGTATGATATACATGAAATTTTTTAAGAGAGTCTCATCACAAAGGAAAATATTCTTTTTCTCCTCTTTTTCTTTTTCCTTTTTTTTTGAGGGGGGGTTGTATCTATATGAAATAATTGTTGTGAAGTAAAATTATTATAATCATTTCACAATATATATAAGTCAAATCATTATGCATATGCCCTAAACTTATACAGTACTGTATGTTAATTACATCTCAATAAAACTGGGGAAAAAATAAACAAAAATAATAATACATGAGCCCTTCCTTCAAAGGGCTCTCAGTTTAGCAAGAAAGAAAACATGTAAAGAGATCATTTCAAGGTAATGTGATAAATGATATCACAGTGCTTGTGTAAGGAGAGATGAAAGATCAGTTTACTCTTTAGAGAAGTAAAGAAACAGGGAAAGCTTCTTAGATGTACCTTTGAGCTACACAGAGGCATTTACTTAATTACATCCAATAAGCATTATTTTAGCACCTAGTTTAGTGCCAGAGAAGGGATGGTGTGTGGGAATTCAGGAAAAAGGCAGTTCTTGGTCTCAAGGTCTCTCAAGTAGAGAGTCAGATCATCACCATATGGTGTGAGGAGTGGTGACAGACATAGGAACTGCCTCTATAGGAAAGGTACCTATAAAAAGGAGGGGAAGACACCCAGAGACACTCCAGCTTGGCTGCGTTTTAAAGGGTGGGTGGTTAATCAGGATGAGAGCACATAGAGAGGAAGGGTGGAAGGAATGGTAGAAAGTGGGGAATGGTTGGGCATAAGGGCTAGAGATATCTTGCTGCATGCCAAGGGAGAACCATGAACAAAAGGCTCAAGGTATGGGAGAACACTTTCTATCCTGTAAGAGTGAGGGTGAAGAGATGAGGCTGAAGAAATACAAGGCAGTGGGACTGGAAACTTTAAAATGCATGTGCTGTAGTCCGATTTGGAGTTTCTACCAGATGATGCTATACCACATATGACTCACCTCCATGGAAATTCTTGGGATTTTTTTCAGAATGCCCAGCATATTAGCTGGCAGAACATGCTGGATTGCAAACGGGTATGACAGATGTTTCTTATAAGAATAACAGAATCTGATTTTATTGGTTGTGAACTGATTTGACACCAGTGTGGCATGATATCAAAGCTCAGTCCACAATAGCTATAAAAGGAAGGTAGATGAGAAAACTAAAGCCCAGCGAAGCTAAAAAAAAAAAAAAAAAAAATCTCATGTTCAAATAGATAGTTAAGGCTAAAGCTAACTTCTAGTTCAGTATTTTGTCCACTACTCATTTGTGGACAATCTTATCAGGCATCTCGCCCTGCTCACTGCTCTGAGGATCGTGTGAATTAGGAAGGAAGACATGTGAACAAAGCACATAGAAGTCCATTCTATGAGAACTCTTTAACATCAGTTAAGCAAGCCCATCACTAAAATATTTATTCTTTTTAATAGTTCATTAATTCTGGAGCCTTCCTAGTTGCATTGGAAAGAAAAACCACAGAAACTCTGGTGAGTTACATTTTGCCCTTCACTAAAAATTTATAACTTTGAAATAATGATTTTAACCTTGAAAGTGAATTTGGAAAATCATTAACCCACTATAATTCCACAAACTGTCAAGTACTGATACCAACCAACGTCACTGGGCTTTTGTCCATAGAATCATAAAACGCTAATGCAAGAAGAGTTTTCTAGGTCATCCAGTTTCTTATTTTATATATGAAAACACTGAGGCATAGAATAAAAGCCAAGTTCCTAAACAAAATGGCAAAATGGGTCTCAGCATTCCAGTAACTCATCCATTCATTCTCTCTGTCATGCCAGACACTTTGAAAGGCACTAGTTTGACTCACATGATAGGCACACTGTGAAGACAACCTAATTAAAAAATAAATAAATAAAATAAAATAAACCTTATAAGCAGAAGTTCAAAATAAATAATAGTGTTAATGAATGCAAAAGTTTAACTTACAGATAAATTATAGTATTTTTACTTTTCTCAAAGAATCAAAAATGTGAGATATTAATTAACAAGCCAATAAATTATTTCCAACACAGGACTTCTCCTGTAGGTTTGAAGTTTTAGGAAGGAATAAAAATTGCAAAGAAATAAAATGTTTAGTTAAAAAGAGCCATAAAACAAAAATGCAAGTAGGTCATGACTTTTACCAGAGCATCAAAGTGCAGGGCAATGTGGCTACGCCTAAGTACCTCTTTTGTCCAGTGTGCACCCCTCCCCCCAACTAAATGGGAGTTAACTTATTAGGTACAGGCTGTGGGGGATGGAAGCGTTATTAAAAGTTCACTGGATTCCCTCATACTCTGGCTGAGTGCCTGAAGCCCAAAGGGATGAAGTGTCTCATATATGATCACACAGCTGCTTTGTGGCATTGCAAAGCTGTGACTAAAACTCTCCCTCCAGTCTCCCCCATCATTGCTTTTTGTCTATAGACTCAGTGTTATGGTCTTCATCTCTTTCAGGTGAAGTTGAGCCAAATAATGAATTCTCTCAGTGCCCTGGCAGCAATAGCTGGAATCATTCTCCTCACATTTGGTCTCATTCTAGATCAACACTTCTTTTGTGGCTATGCTGAAACAATTAGTCAGTGTCAGGCCGTTGCTACCCTATTCACTGTAAGTATACTGCATTTTTATGGCGAGGAGTAATGGGTGTAATCATAAAGATTTATTAGCATCTAATCAGCAAAATCCAAATAATGTTGTGGACACATGTATTTTCTTTTATTTACAAACATTTATAGAAATAATATCTGATAGGTTACACCAGGCATTGTGGAATAGAAAATAAACACATTATAACCCCCAACTTGAGGAATTCACAGATGAGTAAAAAAGATAAAGCATGTATACCAATGAGTCTAATATAAAAGGTACAGTGATATAGGAAGAAAAATGCAGGTATAGCAGTATGGTAGTGATTCATAGTCCCAGATATTTATTAGAATCTTAAGTGGAATATTTTTATGGTTTTGGTTTTGGCTTTAATATTCAGACTGGACTTCTGATAAAACATGGTATATATTGAAAACAGGCATTTATTTCTGCTCTTTCCAAAACACCACTATTACTAAGGGAATGGAAAAGATGTAAATCTACATGGAAAGAAAAATTAGTCAACAAGACCCATCAAAATTTGTCAAGAAGGCTGGAAAGTAATCAGTCACCTAAGGAAAAGGGAGTCTTCATAGAAGTAAAATATCACAGTTGCAAGAGTAGATATCTATCCTCATCTTTTTCCTGTACTTAGAAGGAAAACATCTTGTCTTTCACCATTAAGTATGATGTCGGCTGAGGGTTTTTTAGATGGATTTGATCAAGCTGAAGAAGCTTCTTCTCTTCCTAGTTTGCTGAACATATTTACCATGTGTGTTGAATTTAGTGAAATGCTTTTTCTGTATCAACTGAGATGATCATGTGGTTTTTGTCCTTTATTCTATTGTTATGGTGCTTTGCACTGATTGACTTTTTTATCTTTTTTTTTATTATGTTATGTTAATCACCATACAGTACATCATTAGTTTTTGATGTAGTGTTCCATGATTCATTGTTTGTGTATAACACCCAGTGCTCCATGCAATATGTGCCCTCCTTAATACCCATCACTTTTTTATCTTAAATAAAATAAATTTATGCTGGGATAAATTCCACTCAGTCATGCTGTATAATTCTTTTTAAATGTTGTTGGATTCAATTTTCTGGTACTTTGTTAAAGATTTTTGCATCTTTATTTATAAGGGATCTTGGCCTATACTCATCTTTTCTTGTGATGTCTTTGGTTTTTGTGTCTGGTTAATACTGGCATTATAGAATGAGTTAGAAAATATTGCTTCCGTTTATACTTTCTGGTAAATTTTGAGAAAAATTATGTTGAGTTTTCCATAAACATCTGGAAGACTTCACTGGTAAAGTCTCCTAGGTCTGGGTTTTTTTTATTGTGGGAAGTTTTCTTAAATTACTTGTTATCAGTTTATTTAGATTTCCTATTCCTTCTTGGATCAGTTTCAGGAGTTTGTCCCTTTTTGTCAGCATGAGTGAATGAAGGAACACGACAATACTGATTTTCAAAAAGGCTGTCTTGGTAGTGCTGTGTTAGTAGAGTTGTCTACCAATAATCTAGAACCTTGATTAGCATAGAGGAGATAAAATAGCCAAGAGTATAAGCCCATCACCATCAATGGCATCAGTCATTTTGATGGAGGGTAGTTTTGTTCCAGTCACCTTGAGTGGAAGCAGTCCAGTTCCTAATTCTGAGGAGCTTGGGCCACCTGTGTATTAGCTGTCCTATCTTTTAGATCATTTGCTTTTGTAAAGTTTCTAGAGGACTATAGCTTAAAGTCTATAATAAGTGTGGTAGTGGTGGTGGTGGTGGTAATTTTAGTAAGATCTTATCCAACAAGGCTCAAGTGTACTCTTTCCCTGATGATATTTCCAAAATAACCAGTCACCTGTCTAAGGTCACAAAGAATGATTAATTAGATGGCTGGCAAGGAAAAGCAGTCCACATCTGTTAGTGGGAAAAACTGACAAATTTATTATATAGTCAGAGTTATCAGAATGAAAGTCAAATCATTCACTGAGATGTAATACAGAATTAATTTCTGAGAATTTAGTCAATGATTACCAGGAAGTAAGAAGAAAATAGGGATAGCGAAGGCCTTGAAAAATCCACCCCTGCCTGCTGACTCAAGAAATCAGCAGCCTCCAACAGGTGGAATATATGAAGAAGAGTCTCTCCTACAGCCAATTTCCTACATATAGACAAGACTACAGAAGGTTCTTAAAAGATTTTAATGAGTAGTCTAAGATAATTGGTCCTAGAAAGGATATTGGTCAAAGAGACATATTACTTATTAGTCCTGGTGGCTGGCTAACAAGACATAACTCTTTTCCTAGGATTTATTCTTATAGATACACAAAAATATAGATAAAAGGCAGATAGACAAACAGGATGGTTAGTGGCATCCTGTCTGCCAATAGCTTTGGCAGACCATCTATTTCTTCACCCCCACCCCACCAAGGGAAAAGAAAACAAGAACAAGTGTGAAGGGATAATGAAAGAGCCTGGGAAACCTGACTCCTAGGACAAATAAAATAAACCTTACCCAATAAAAAGTGCTAGATCACCTCATCAACATAGATGTGCAAACCCTGGACAGGGTTGCTCACAGGCAGCCAGTGGAATAGCCACTAAGTGAGTCAAAAGACCAGAACCGTAATAGTGAGGGGTCTGACAAGACCTCTCTGGGGCCTCTGTGACTGTCTAGCACCTTCAAAGACCACCAGGAAAATCAATGACAGGTAAAAGCTGAATTTATTAAATTTGCTAATCAAGGGAGAGCATGGGTCTCAGACACAACAGGGGGAAACAGAAAAGGGCATTTATAGGATTTCATCAGCTGGAGGAGTCATAAGGTAATTTTAGGGGAGAGTAACAGTAGTCTGGAAAGGAACTGGTTAGATTTGCAAACTAGACAAGTTGCAGAGACAGCCAATGGTCTAATTTTTGGAAAACATGAATTCACATGGAATTACCATTAAAACATCTCTCTGTAGCCCTATTTTGAACATAAAGCTCTGAGACATCTTATGTTAAAATCTTGAACTTAGATATTTGGTCTTGCGTATCATGCTTTGATACATCAATTTGCTGAGTCAAAGTACAGTTATTTTTCAAATCATGGTTTCTTTTCATTATCAATTCTCAGTAATCTTAACTAAAACAAAAACTAAAAACTATGAAAATTACCAAAAAGAAAAAGTAGAAGCAACTGGACTGATACCTAACTTCTCAAAAACAACAATAAAAGCCAAAAGACTGAACAATATCTTCAGCATTCTGAAAAAAATAACTGCCAACCAATAGCCTATCACTCACTACCAATTATTGTGATATAGATAGATACATACATACATACATATATACATACACAACGGAATATTACTCAACCATAAAAAAGAATGAAGTCTTGTCATTTGCAATGACATGGCTGAAGCTAGAGTGTACTATGCTAAGTGAAATAAGTCAAAGAAAGACAAATACCATATGATTTCACTCATATGTGGAATTTAAGAAACAAAACAGATGAACAAAGCGGGGGAAATAAAGAGAGAGTCAATCTAGGAAAGAGACTCCTAACTGTAGAGAAAAAACTGAGGGTTCCTGGAAGGAGGTGGGCAGAGGATGAGCTAGGTGTGTGGTGGGCATTAAGGACGGCACTTGTGATGAGCACTGGGTGTTGTATGGAAGTGATGAATCACTGAATTCTACTACTGAAACCAATATTACACTATATGTTAACTAACTAGAATTTAAATAAAAACTTGAAACAGAAAAAGGAGAAGAAAAATATCTTACAAGAATGAAGTGAAATGAAGAATTTTTAGAGATACAAAAATTGAGCTTGCCTCCTGCAGACCAGAATTAAAGGAATAAAGAATGAACTCCAAATAGAAAGAAAACGATAGCACAATGAGATGCAAAAAGGAATGAAGAACAAAGAATGTGATAAACGTGTGGACAAATACAAGTGAATACTGCTTGTGTAATGCAGTAATAATATATATTGAGATTAAAAATAAAGTATTTAAAATACCAGTTAGCATTAACATATAAGTAGAGAAGGGAGCAAATGGTGTTTTTGTTAGTTGTGTTTGTTAAGGACCTGAGTTTTCTCTGAGAAGAGCATGCAGGTTTGAAGAACTTTTAGACTTTGATGTGTTTTAACACTTAATGGTATCATCAAAAGTAAAAAACTAGAACTAATAGATATATTTAGTCTATTATATCCAAAAACAAAGAATACACAATTTTGTAACACATACCAACAAAAGATGACTATATATTGGTAAATATGACAATTCCAGATTAATACCAAAGATTGAAGTCCTAGTGTATGACCTATGCAATAAAACAATAAGCAATGATAAAAATAATTTTAACCTGTGGTTGGATATTAAGCAGTAGGTTTCAAAGTAATTATTGGATCAGGAAAGAAATCATAATATGAATCCAAAGATGTTCTGAAATGAAAGCTCAAAAACTTGAGGGCGAAGGTAAAGCAATACTTTCAAGGCAATTCATAGCTTGGAAATGTAGATACTATAAAATATGAAACTTTGAAAAATAATGGCCCAAATATTAATCTCAGGGATTAAAGGAGAGAAAATTAGTCCAAAGAAAGAAGAACAAAGGAATTAATATACAATGACAAGAGAAGAAATTAGTAAAAACAAAACAAAAATCATGCACACATTAGAAAGGATCAAAATAGCCAATGATTGGTTTACTGAAAATACTAGTAAAGTATACAAATCCTTTTTTTCTGGTTATGACAGAGTAATTTATATCAGAGCATCTCTCTAGTGAAAACCACTTTTATTAAAAGCTTATTAAAATAACAAAAAACTTCCAAATGTTTGAATATACACAAAAGAAACCATGGCAGCCAGCATTTAAAGTGCAAGGATCCTCTGAGAGTTGTACACATTGAATGAACTAAAGCCAAAATTCTCCATCACTTTTCTCCACAAGTTATTTGCTGACACCTAAGATGTGCAGGATGCAAAGCTCAGAAGCCAAGTTGATAAGAAGCTAAGAGGCTAAAAGGCCAAGAAGAGATTTCGGCAGTCATGCAGTACTGCAGACA